CTCTCCCCCAAGCACGTTTTATAGATAGGTTAAAAAGATGTGTTAACGTCAATTTTATGTCCTGTCTCTATGATATGTTTTGCAATAGATGTGCTAGGTCTCCTGTTCTCACCATTAATAGGTTCAGTCAATTTTATTTGCTTCTAGAGTCATATAGGAATATGCTCTGATGCCGGCCTTTACTTTCAGAGATCGATAAGTCCTCCCTATGTATATGTGTGCACACCTACATTCAAATTGGTAAACACGGTAGGATGTGACATCATTTTTTGCATGTTCAATGGGTTTACATAGATACATGGGCTTCACATTCTCAATTGTTATCATCTTAACTGCATAAAAATTCTTTTTAACAGTAGCGTTCAGCCGTTGTCGAGTTACCAAGCTGCTATGGTTACACATATAGGGTAGCTTGATGTACACGTCTTTCTTAGCGGCGAGTCGGAGAGCGGTTCTTGATATTCCGACTACTATATATCTCCTTATGGACACTTGTTTGGGTAATTGTTGTGTCAACTTTCTTTCTTCCTCATCAAGTTTGTATTTGCTGCATATTCGTTGGATTCTACTAAGAAGGCACCTTATTAAGGCTCTTTTGTACTGAACAGGACGGAAACTGTGATAATTAGGATATTGTCCTGACCAGATATGTAAACTATAAATAGATCGTTTTATTGACCTATCAAGCCGTCAATTTAAAGCTGAGGTAGCAGAGCAAGACTTATCACTGGTGATTACAATATCATCTACACACCTTCTACAAATCAGCATATTTTCGATTAAATCCTCCGATTAACTCCCAGTGTACGACGTATAAATATCTACTAAAAAGGGCCATAACCGACTGCCCATAGCAACACCATCAACTTGGCGGAAACAATCGCCTCTATTGTGGAAAATATTATAGAAACAGGACATAAAGTTGACGTTAATACATCTTTTGAACCTATCAATAAAATTTGTGCACTGCTGCAGGGTATAATTCCATTATGGGGAAAAATTTTTCTTGATAAAGTCTCACAGTGTTATACAGTAAGTAATATTTACTGATGACGTTTCGAGCACAGTTTATTGCTCAGTAAATATTTTTGTTTGATTACAGCTTGATTCCACACTGTATTTTTGGTACAAGTATCGAATTTTCAGCATTTGATATCGGTATACATTTGGTGGATGGTGGCTAGCAGTGGAATCTAGGATGCGCATTTCTTCCTATTTGGGACTCCTCAGCTGGTGCACCTGCATTTCTCGGTGAGTGATGACATTCCCACCGAAGCTCGAACCCAGTACCCATAGTTTCAAACGCCAAAGCCGACATGTCAACCTGAGACCGAGCAATTCGGTCCAAACAATCGACGGGAAAATCAAAAATTCAATTCAATAATTTGATATCGGTAGCCCAAATTTTGCAGGACGACCATAGATATCAGGTGTGCGTTGGCAGGGGATCGAACCTCGGACCATGTGCATGGTCGGCGAGAGTCCTAACCACTCTAAAACTCTAAATAAAACAAATAAATTTTACTCACAATGGAATTTCACTCTGTTTACACTGCAACCTAAAACTGAGAGCTATTTTTATCACACTTTTATACAGTTTTTATGATTTTTTCTTAAATATATGTATTCCATACACAAAAATACCTCCTTCACGTGATTGGTGCGCTCGAGGTCATTCGCTGATTGATACTTTGTGTCGCTTAAAGTTTTACTTTAAGTGGATGTTTGATGTCACACAAAATCGAAGACTTACAAATAAAAAACGACAAACTGGTCGAAGAAGCAGCAAAGACAGGACTGCTGGTGAACATAGACAAGACAGAGTTTATGAAAATAACCAGCCAACAACAAGAACGGCAGCATCATCCAGCGCCAATCACCATCAACGGGAGGGATTTGAAAGAGGTTACTTCATTCATTTATCTAGGAAGCATTGTCTCAATTACAGGAAGTCGCAACGGTCAAGGATTTCAAATCGAGCGAGAATCGGGAAGGCGAGAAACACATTCATCAACCAACTGAAACCAATCTGGAAATCTTCATCATCACTCAGCATCAACAACAAAATTTGGTCAGATTTTCAATGCAAACAACGTCAAGTTAGTCAGTTCTTCTATATGGATCAGAAACCTGGCGGGCGGGTCACAAAGGATATTTTTAACAGCCAGTTGCAGACCTTTTTCAACCAACAACTGTCTTCGCTGGGTCTATACTGAAGATCAGATGGCCGGGCCGGAAAGAATCACCAACAACAAACTATGGGAAGGAACAAACAAACAAAACAAGAACCAATCGCCAACCAACAATTATGCAGGAGAAAGCGAAGAGATGGATTGGACACTCGCTGAAGAGGCCGCCACTGGGTGACACCGCGCGTAACGCAGGCCATTGCTCAAGTGGAACCAGGCCGAAAGGGAAGCGGCTAGTCGGTCGTAAGTGCAAGGGTGACATGGATGAGATCGTGTGACGAAGAGTTGAAAGAGTATGGAGTAACATGGATGGAGGTGAAAAGTACAGCAGAAGCAAAACAGAAGCAAGTGGAAACGTGCAGTTGAAGCCCTATATTCCACTAGGAACCCAAGGGAACAATAATAATGATAATAAGGTTTAACTTTGCCCAAACAGATATAGGAAGGAAGTATTGCACCTAGGTTTCACGTCTGGTGTATCTACAATCTTAAAGGCACTCATGTTCATTCTAAGATTATAAACCGTGTCATCTAGTGACCTGCAGTTAGAGGCATTACTACTGAGCTATTCAGGCTCACTAATGGCATCATTTGGGACTTTATTAGATACTTTGATATGACAATAGGTAGTAACCAGTGTCATGCTTCTCTGACTGCAGGTCGAATCTCAATAGGGACATGATTGCCTTCAAGATTGCGAAAACGTCATGGTGACGAACACTGATGAGCACGAAACCTAGGCCTCTTGTCGACTGCCTCCGACTATCTGGTGATGTACAGAGAGAACAATGTATGCAAATTACTAGGCTATAACTTCCTAACATGCCAGCAACGGAGTTTCAGTGTTACGTCTTCGGATTGCCAACTTCAGATAATTTCTTTTTAAGATTATTTTGAATTTGGTTTATGAATTGCAAGTGGCATTCTCTGTTACTCAAAACCGACAAAATTCTAAACCACTTAACATTTACAACACTGTACATTTCCCTCTTAGACGCATGAATCTTAATTTCCCTGTAGATAATCCCCTTTTATTGTGTTTATTTGTTTGTCTTATAGTCAACAGTTGCTTATGAGGAGTTTTATATATTTATTGCAGGCACATTCACATTTTGTTATTCCTATTTTTTATTTTATTCCTTTACGTTCCCAGCGGAACATACGGCTTCAAGCTACAGCTTTGGGTTTCGGTGGGGTGGGGTTGATGGACTTACACCAAATCTTCCCTTTTTACGGACCTTACTACCGGCTTAGCGATATTTAGGTGACTGTCTGCCGGGGATCGAACTGCGGACCAAGTGAGGCATGGTTGGTGAGCTTTCTACCGTTATACCACTGACAATTCAATAAACTGAATGCACGCGTGGACATGCACACATAGGATGGACTCATCTATCCCTGCAAGAAAGTAAGGGCTGGCTTCACAGCATATTCCTAAATAGCTTCAGTAGCGAACAGAATCTCCAGAACCAACTAATGATGAGAATAGGCAGCCTAGCTCCGCTATTGCGAAACATATCATAGAGACAGGACATAAAAGTGACGTTAACACATCTTTCAATACTATCTATTAAACGTGTTTGGGAGAGGGAGTATCCTAAAATTTGTGGTAGCCATAGCTGGCAATTAGGAAGTTCAACCCACCCGTACGAGTTCAAAACACAATCCGTCATCACACTAAACCTTCCTTGGCAAACGTTGTTTCGATAGCAGCCAGGTTAGATGTAATATTACCTCTTTTATTTGGTCTAGTGACTTTCATTGTTATTTTGACCTTTAATATGTCCTTTTAACTTCAACTAAATTATTTTCTCATTTCTTAACTCTTAAATAATTTCCCTGTGAATGTGCTTTTTCTACACACGCTTCTCCCAAGTGACCCATCTTCTCGCCTACTTAGCAAAACATCCAGAAAATACAGTTTATTCTCTTGTTCCTCTTCACAAACAAAAGAAAGCGAAGGGTGGACGCTGTTGAATTTCAGCCACAATTCGTTCATGTTAATATTCCCATCAGCTAAGATAAATATATCATCGACATATCGGTAATACATATCAAACTCTTTGATGATGTCCTTCAATTTCCCGTTTTCAATTTTGCGAGAAAGAAGTCAACTAACATTGGGCCTAATGCTGAATGCATAGCTATTCCACCTACTTGTCGGTAGTAAGAATTATTGAAGACAAAGTGAACATTCATTGTACATTTGAGAAGTAATTCTTTGAGGTTACATAAGGGGATTCCTAAGTCGAATTGTCTTTTGGTGATTTCTTGACAAATGTAATCTACTGTCTCCATAAGCGGTACATTAGTGAATATTGATGATACATGCATGGATAACATGTGTTTATACCTCACATTAGTCTCGGATATTTGCACGATATCTCTGTGCAAAGGACCCAGAATCTTCACTTATCCCTTCGCTGTTCGGTGAAATGGAGAGTTATACATATCTAAAACAGGGGGGAAGAGAAAGACCCAGTTTGTGCACTTTGAGTAGACCGTAAAGACGTGGAGCATTGGTACCCGTTGGTTTCATGGACTCATACGTGGCTGATGATAATACACCCGTTTCGGTTCCGCTTTTTGAGAGAGTCGGTCATTAGTTTCTCCGCTCTTACACTGAGGTCTTTGTAAACATCAAGATATTGAAATTTAGACAAATTACGTCTTGTTATTTCTTTGACTAAATTCACAAGTTGAACTGATTGTTTTAAATTTCTTATATATGTCACGAGTAGGTTTGTGAATTTAGTCATTGGAAGCGTCATTTTATATGAATTTAACGAAAATAATTTTGGTATTACTTACCTATGACAACATTTCATATATTTGGCTGAATTCGAAAATGAATTAGCCAATCTTTCACCAGATTCATAATTTGCTGAAGATGAAGCAATTGAATCGCATTTTACCTTAGCACCCTCTGGAAGAAATTCTTTTAATGAATACTCTTGCGCGGTTTGTAACTGTGAGTGTGCAGGACACTGATATTGACTGTTTGGATAATAGGTCGGATGACCACCACTGAATAAGATATCGCTGATATCACAGTCTTCTTGAGGTTTTTTATTACACTGACACATAGAAGAAGGTGAGTGAGCGCATAGATTTTGGCAGACAATATGACTATTCTCCAAGATATGTTCACACTTCTGATTAATAACCTTCGCGTGTTCTATTGGTTCAGTGGAAAGATTTTTTGGCAAACATGTGTCCTTGGGGTTAGTCAACTGATTATTAGGATTACTTATATAGATAAAGTGTGGTACAGTCTGTAGAAATTGCAAAGATTTATTCTGTAATCGACCTGTTGTTGCTGATGATGATGTTGATGTTAGGAGTTTATCATTTGTATGCGAACGATTTGTCCCAGTTTGTGAATTGAAATTTGTACGAATACGTGGATGTGTATAACCAACTTTATGCAGTGTATTGAATAATCCTTGTGCTTCTGAAACCAGTGGAGTTTCTGGACAACTTGGTATACAAGGATATGGATTGCTTTTTTTACAACATTCAGCGTCCAATGTCAAGAGGTGATTTACACTGGTGTCAAATAAACGTGAATCACTGCATACTGGTGGGTACGAAGAGGATTTCACATCAGAATTTGACAGATTTAAATTCATTATATTTACATGGGATTGTTGATTAGTTGGATTCATGTGTAACTCACAACCAAGGTCGAAATTTTGAGCACACTGATTGTTTGCAGGCATTTCAGAGTACTTCCTGAATGTCTTCATTTTAGTTATAGTTTATTGCTATGTAATAATTAAATTGGTTGGCTGATGACAATTATTTTTCTCTCTTTTTTTTCACAATTTGTACTCCGTCATGTTAATGTTGTTATGTGGTGAATTATAATAATTATAATAATAAAAAATATTTATCTATCCTTATTTCTCTTTTTTACATGTTAGGAATATTCTATTGGTTGGATAAACTGACCAATCAGATAACAGATATCAGAGATGATGAACAAGATGATACGTTTTTATTTCCAGACATCTTGTTAGCAAATGAAATAAATTCATCATTATATGAAAGGGATGTTATTGAAAGCCAGTATTGTGTTGTTGCTGATCTAATGAGTGGTTTTTATGTTATGACATGTGGAGAAATATTTTGTGTATGAATGTGACCCTACTGCCTATAGGTGGGTCGACGGTTCCGTGAGATAGTGGTTAAATACGCGCGCGGCCGAGACACTCCTAAAGGTCACCTTACCGGTATTGGACTTAGAAAAGAGGAGAGATTGAGCATGGGACTAACAGTCCCACCCGAGTATTATTACTTCAAAACACAAAGCTTCAGGCCCTATGCTCCACTCAAGACGTAAAGGGTTGACTGCTGAGGATTGCTTAGAGAAATTAGCAGTCCAAACTGATGGGCCAAGGTGTGATTAATGTAAGCAGAAGTATTCTTTAACCAACAGGCTATATAACTAAACTGAATATTTTGGTGAAGCAGTGTTCTTTGAGTTTATAAAAAGGATCGAGTATACCGTTTGATTCTACACAGCATTTTGGTAGAAGTGTGGAATTTTCAGCAAGTGATATACCGGTACCCCAAATTTAGCAGGCTGACCACTGATATCAGGTTTGCCTCCACCAGCTGTCGTACCTCGAACCATGCACATTGTAAGCGAGTGTGCTAACTAGTTTGCCAATCCTCGAGATAATGCAATACACGGCCGACCCTTGGACGGGGCTGAACATGCACACAGCTCCCGTCCTTAAGGGAATAATACAAGTAATTTCATCGGTCTTAGTTTAGAGACTGTTGCAGAAATCACACTGCAAAGAACAGACACTACACATGATCTTAGCTCAGACGAACAATAATATATATGTCACCTGGAGGTCCAGTGAATTCACTAGCAAGTCTCATTAAAATCTACACATTTGTAGATGAAATAAAATTTATCTCGGACACAGAAGCTTACCCGCAGTTCTAGTGAGAACACATGACCGGCTGAATCCACCAAATCAAGTTAGAAAACTGTTACCTGTCTATAACAGTGATTGGCGAATGCGCCATATATCACGAACTAGCAGGAATTGTAACTCATGAGGCATTTTAGATCATATCCTTGTGACTTAATAGTCTACCAGCTTGTCTTTTAATAGAGGGGGGGGGCTGAGTTCAAACTCCGTCAGGTGCACAGATTTGAGAAGTCCCAAACTGGGACGAAACAGTTATCCAGTATTCTCTAGTTTTCCAGTGGTTCTCTAACTGACTGATATCTGCTCATGATGACACCTCTAACCAACCAAATTTCTGCAAGTGAACACTTGATAAATTCATTAAATTGTCAGTGGAGTCACTGCACTTATCTTCTGTCATTTCCACCGAATACAAACGTTTTTCATTGCAGGTATACAACATATCAGACGCACTTAATCTATCTAAACTAAAGAAAAAATATGTCATCACTTATGATGCGTTTAATATCTACAAACAGAGTGTTGACTTGTTGCTGAAATATAAGTCAGTTAAATATTTAATTTGGAGTAAATGAGTATGGGTCAAAGCAGACCAATAAAATTTGAAGAAAAATTTGCAGAAATCAGTTTTTCATCAACATTTTGCATCACCTTGTGATGAATGAAGATAAGACTTGGTGATAAAGCCTTTAGGTTGATTGTGAGTAACCAGTCACTTACGATTTATCCAAATACCAATTGAGGTATAAAGTGAAATTGTAACCTAATTTAGAGTGAGGTTTTGAAAGTCACTTGATGTTGTATCCGACTGATGATCCGAAGCAAGCTGACTTGAATTATTAAGTAATACATATTTTCGTCACATCTTTATTCACCTTTCATTGCTTGATCTTTAGGTCACTATGGTAATTCTGTATCTTATAGTCAAATTAGAGTCGAATAAGGGTTCCGTGTTAATTGATTTTATGTGAAACAGTCTTTTCAAAGTTGTAGTGAGTACTTCATCATGAGCTGATGTAGGTTAGAGAACCACTAGAAAATCGTCTGGGAGTACTAGATAGCCAGCTTTTTAGTCCTGGTTTGAGACTCTTCACCAGTACTCGCCCACCGCCAAAGATCAAAGCCAGGACCCTCTGATTACAAGGCAAGCCAGCTCGTAGACCATTAAGTCACTGGGACCCGATCCAGTGGTCAGTGTATAAATTCTAACTTCTGACAATTCGTGACTTAGCATGACCACTTTGCAATGTCTCCTTCGATGAGTTACTGCCTCACCTTCAACCTGTTGTACCCTACTGATCGCCGCTTCCCACTAGAACCCAAGATCAGTCGCTAGTGAGCATCAGATCAATTTTTCAAGCATTGGTTTTTGTAAGGAATTTTGTTCGATTGGTTGGAGAATTTCATCATGGGCAGTTGGATTGGGTCCCAGTGGCTTAATGGTCTATGAGCTGGCTGGCATTGTAACCAGAAGATCCCGAGTTTCAACTCTGTCGGCTGGTACGTACTGATGAAGAGTCCCAAACTAGGACGTGGGAAACAGCTGTCCAGTAGTCCCAGATGGTTTTCCAATAGTTCTCAAACTGATGTCAGCTTATGATGAAATCCTTCAACCAATCAACCAAAATCCCTACAAAAAGACCGATACTTGAAAAATTCTAGTGAGTAGCTTAAGAAATTCTACTGGTTTTTAAAAAGTGGTTTCACGTTTTGCACTGTGATACAAATTTTGAAAATAATACATATTCTAAATAGATACTGTCTGTCTGTCTGGATTCAACATAGAACCGAAGTGCAGCAGTTCCAGTTGCCACGTTCCAAATAGCACACAGAGGTAGACAAGAAGATGAGTGAAGAGAATCAATAGAGTTTGACAAGTATAAGAGTGAAACAGAATGGGTAATGGTAGAAAGGAATATGAAAGATTACAGAGACTGAATACATCTGCGCTTGCCATTGACAACGATTTTGAGCCATGTCACCTATTGTCTCCAGCCATTGATTCCTAGGGTCCCGAGGGCCCCAACCCGGGAGTCTGAATCTCCCTACCTACCTTACTCAGTTTAACTGTCAAGGATTTCATGGATTGATGAGGCCATGTTTTTGTTTGGCCACCACTGGCTCTTTTCCAACCTGCACCTATATCAGCTAGCAATGCCCGTCGGGGGAGGCGATGGTTAGGCATGCACAACACGTGACCTAGCCATCTCAATCTATGTAACTTTATAGCCTCGTCGATTGATTTTCCCTCTTTGCCTGCTAAACACTCTACGCCTAACGTCAACATTACTTACCTTATTAAACCACCTAACGTGAGACAGGGATCGCAGAAATCTGTGATCGAAAGCAGTCAACCTCTTCATGTCTTCAACGCGTATTGGCCATGTTTCAGAGCCATAGAGAAGGACGGAGCGAACTGCTGAGCAGTACACACGTCCCTTGGTTGATAGCCGGATGTCACGCCTACGCCAGAGATGGTGTAAGTTGGCGAAAGCAGCTCGACCTTTTTGGATCCTTGCTGAGATTTCGTCGCCAATCAGTACGTTTGTGCTAATACAACTTCCCATATAGGTGAAGTGGTCAACATGTTCTATCACTTCACTCCCCCCTATTACTAAGCTAGGAGTTGACATTTTGTAGGGGCGAATCGCATGCCAAACATACGAAGATTGCTGCTCAAGGTGTTCAGAAGACTCTGCATTTTCTAAATAGATACGGAGAACTTTGGTCTTAGACATGTGAATATGCAAAATTAACCTGTTTTAGAAAGGTTGGATTAGCTTTGTAAATTGAATGGAAACATTTTGCTTGATTTGTTTCGTTTGCTGACATCCTTCTAAGCAGAGAATCAAGATTGTTGATATTTTTATTTAAGAAAATTGCCGTTTTCTGTCCCGTTTTGAATTCACTGTACACACGTGACCGGTTCATTTCTGTCTAACCAGCACCTTATTTATTGAGGTTATTTCACTGATTTCCATTGGGTGTCTCGAACACTTTCGGAATAAGGTTAGCCCAGATACATCTAGTTAGATCTCCTTATTAAACTCTTAAATCCAGTATTATCACGGAGTGTTATTGTTTCCATGGTTGTCGTCTGTCCTGAAAACACTGCGCCTCCAAATACGACGCTATATCCAGCTGATCACTTGAAAAGGTATTCGCGACAACGGAAAACTTGACGAAGTCTTCTTCCATGTAAACATGTAAGTAGACCAAGGTGGCTGCCAACTGTCACTGATGATATTCTTAATTGTGACAGACTGGATTAGACGTCAGATTATGTTTGGGAGCATGGAGACAGGCACGCGTTGGACCGATAAGATGACTTTAGATCATCTGAATTTCACGTGCAAATTATGTCTAGTCGAGCATAAACCTGAAGAAAATACACAGGGGAACACTAATGAAGACAGAAGTTCAGGTGAGCATCAATCGCCATCAATAGAAAAAGTCTTCAGTTGTTTAAGAAGGATCGTTTCAACTACAGGAGGAAACACGGATGAGGATGTCAAAATCGGACAGAATTGGAAGGACAAGAGAGACGCCCATCACTCTGAAACCAATTTGGAAAACTGTTCCACTCAGAATAAAGAACAAAATTAGGATTGACGTCCAGCTAACAAGACAAGAATCGGATGGAACACTGAAAAGATCTATCAACAGAAAGTCGACGTAGAACGGACAACTTACTAACTTTCACAGGTGGGTACCTCTATACACCAAACGAAACCTGATCCGTTCACTCAGCCACAGAGTCCGCACAATTTGTACCCCGGACACCATAGAAGATGAACTGGATAATCTCAAGAGAATCCTCATCGAGAATTGTTATCCAGAAAGATTTATTGCAAAATCTATGAATCCTAGACCACAAAAGCCGCCCATGCTTAGCGTCCCGAAGAAACTA